TCCCCAGCCAGCCGGGGGATTCTGGGAGTTGAAGTCCAGCCATCTGAAAGTCGCCAAGGTTGAGAAACATTGACTTAGAGATTTTAGGGTGCTGAAAAGCCTTGAGTCAGAGACAGGGTGCTTTCCCAGAGGGTGGGAGTTCCCAGTGCGGCAATGTGGTGCCAATTAGCAACATGGAGGTCAAAGCTTTCGCTCCCTCCCTTGGCTTTGCCCTTTCTGCCTCTCCTCCCTCCTTCCCCTGCCTCTTCCCCTTTACACACAATTCGACTTGTGCAATTCACCGCCCAGATTACCGGGAAGTGACAAAGATGTTGCCCTTAGGGTTTCGGGTCTGGATGAGCAAAGAGACGTCTCTGCTGGGTCTTCCTCTGTTGCACGTGTGCGCTAGAGCAAACTCTTGGGTCAGGTCAGGGCTCTCCAGTCTTGAATTTCTTTCTGCAGTCAGAGGCTCTGTTCACACAACGTACCTAACTGGGTGACAGCTGTAGCGGTTCATTTTAACCTTGCTGAGTTTTTCGGTTGGGGGTGAACATGAATGGTTGGGTTCCTTTATGGCTGAAAGTATTGTACAAACTGAGAAAATTGGCAAACTCAGTTCCTCGAGGTAAAGCGAGTTGTGTGAATGTAGTCACTGTGTCACTTTAGCTTTGGGGCATTATTATATGCCCGAGTTCATATTTAAAGTTAATTATGCATTAATGTATTTAGGGTCATTTGTCCTCTGCTCCTGGACATCTATTTTTCCTACGCACATGCCCGTGATGATGATAATTAGAGACAGAAGGGTCAGTGAGAAAGAAATTTTAAAAATAGGGTATGTAAAGACCTTCAAACAGAGATTGTGCCAGTGTGGGAAAAGAAAGTCATAGTGGTGCCAGTGGTGATTGGTGGGCATGGTGCCATCCCAGAAGATCTGGAGAAGCGCTTGGAGACAATAAGAATGGACCAGGTTTAAACTCCTCATTTACAAAAAGTTGCATTACTTGGAACAACACATATATTACAATAGTATAGCTATCCTAGATCCTTGGGAAGAATCCGATAGTCAAAAGTACCAAATCCAGTCAGAACTCTGGTAGATTGTGGAAATAGCAGCAGCAGCAACGATAATATTCCAATAGAGGAGAATAACAATAATATTCTTTAAAAAATTAAACACGGAATAGAAATAGAGGAATATCAATTATGTTAGAATGCAGAACAATACCAAGTAGATGCATTGCAAACCTAGGCAGATTGAGTATTTCTGCCTTCAGTCTTGAGTACATAGAGAAAAGTAATTCCAAAACAATCCTGAATTATTAGCCAAACTAGCATTTAGCTCACCATCTTGTATTGAAGCCTTCAAATGGCAGTTATACTGTGCTTTTCCGGAAAAAAGTTCTCATAGCATTACAAGTTAATAATGCACAATACAGAAACAAACCCTACAAATAATTGGCCCTACGCACATCTTTGAAATTATTAATTAGATACATTTTAAAAAATGCTAATTTGTTTGAGCTTTGGGGTTGGGGAAGACTCCTGAGAATACCCTGGGCAGCCAAGAAAACAAAAAAATGCATCTTTGAACAAATCAACCCAGAGGTCTCACTCGAGGCACAGATGACTGGCTCAAATTATCCTACTTTGAACACATGATGCAAAGACCCAGCTCTCTGGAGAAGGCTCCAATGCTGGGAAAGGTGGAAGGAGAAAGAAGAGGATGATCATCAGCAGGGTGGGTAGAGACGGTGGCAATGGGTGCAACATTGGAGGAACCAGATTGGGGACAGAATTCTGGAGAAGGTCTATGTGGTCCCTAAGGGTTGACACCAACTTGATAACACATCAATCAATCAAATGCTAAATTGTTGAGAATACTTTGGACAGAAAGGAGATAAAATCATTTACGAGTACATGAAGTAAAACCAGATAGATCACTGGAAGTGCTAATAATCAAAGAATACACCATGTCAAAGGCCAGAGTCATTGGAGAAGACCCAATGCTTGGAAAAATGGAAGCCAATCGAAATAAAACCCAAAATAAAACAAGGTGGTTAGATAGCATCACTTAGATGACCTACGCGGGAGCTTGCAAGAAATCAAAGAAGTAGTTTCTAGCGTATTCCTGTCACAATAATGTCCACTGGGTCAGAAAAAGTTGGGGCATTTGCAGCAGGAGTCAAAAAGGTCAAGATGGTGGCTGTGAACCTTTCCATGTATGGGATGGAAGGGGTGGGGCTTTTGCAATCATGGCCGCCATCTTCTTTTGAGTCTCTCTAAAGACACAGCTGGGTAACCCCCAGTTTTTAGGGCTTGGACCAGTTACTTCTTCTCAGCCTGCTGATGTAACGAGGAGGACCATTTTGTATTCTGCTGTATGTTATGCTCCTACGAATATTAGTGAACGAAAATATAAAAAATAGGACCAGATAAGTGACAATTATTTCTTATATTGAAAGACCCAGCCCAGATTCTTATTCAAATAACTCTAAGAAATAGAATACCAAAGCAATTTTATATCTGCATGCTTCGTGGTACAATCCAGACCCCATGTAAAGTAGTAGTTAGCGGTTCAGACTTTCTCCTGGAAAGACTGCATTTTAGAAATAAAAAGTCT